CATCACCGCGACCCCTACTTCGTTCCGTCCTGGCAGATTTTCTTTGAATTCCACGTGCTCCAACCCGGGGTTGCGTTCGCGACTTTTCTTGACTATGGAGCGCATATTGTTCATGGAAGTCGGGCGAAGCCCTTTCCTCCCTCACTTCGTCAGGCCGCCGAGGTGGGACGCCTGGGTGACAGCTTACAGGTATGCGTTAGGGGTCGAGGCGCGCCGCATCCCTGTCGAGGTTCAGTGCGACGTTGGCCGCGTCCCGATCGGGAACCAGCCTGACCTCATCGCCCGCCAGCCCGTCTCCGCCGGTCTCCTCGTCGCATGGGCGGGAAAGGGGGCGGAAGCCGTGTCCAACGAGCTGTTCTTCCCCAGTTTCCCCGCCCCCGTTGACGCCGCCGAGGACGACGAAGCGGTCGGGGCTAGGGCTCAGCCTGGAGAAGATGATGAGATTCGGGTCTGCCGCGGCCAGCCCGGGAATGGAACCTTGACGGGTGCCGAATCGGATGCGGACGCTCTGCCTGGGAGGGTTTGGGCTGCGTCCATCCAGATATTCATGGAATTGATATATAGCAGTTTCTCAATTCTCAAGCTGGTTATAGTTTCGGAGTGTCGGTGCTGAGCGTCTCGTCGAATCGTCGGGTGTTAAAAATAACCTCGACGGTTTCAAACACACGCCACTTTTTGCAAACCCCCTGTCCTCCCGAAAGCGTGCGGAGTGACCGGCTGCCGGCTCACTCCTCACACTACGTACCAGATATCTCTCTTTCTCTCGCACAGCAGCAGGAGACATGGCGGCAATGACGGACACGGTGCCTGAAATAACCACGCTATTCTCCCTGACAGATGACACCCGAGAGATGGTCGATGAGGTAAGTTGAAGGGACTGCTGCTTTGAAAGGGGAGGTACCAGAGACCGCGCACAGAGCACAGAGGCAGGCAAGCTCTCCTCGTCTGTCTCTACCCACCGCACACACACTTCGCGACTCTCCCCTGTAGCAGTACTGCACTAGCTTTGGCTATTGCAGCCACCGTAGCGTGCTCTCTTTCATGTGTGCTGCCAGCAGCAGCTGTACCGTAGTTGAGAAGATAGACGGCGGAGCGTTGCCCACAAGGGTTGACCAGCGGATGGCAGAAGTACGTTTTGACACAGGCAGACAAAGGCAGACCGGCCCGCAAACGGCCGTTTTACAGAGTAGTTTGCTGCTGCTGTGCCAGGGGCACGCCCACGAGAGGTTCGTGGACGCCTTACACTAGCCCCCCCCCGCGCGCGCGCCTGCTGCTGTAGAACATACAGTTTTGTTTTTCAAGTTTCTCGTGGTGGCCCACCTTGTCCTACAAGTCTGCATGTGTTGATTATTCTGCTGTGTAGATTCAAGAGTCCCTGTACTGCTGTACAGCATACCATTATTTTAGTAGTACGAAGCGACAACACATGATCGCGAGCGATAACACAGGGAGACTGCCGATGGCTTCTACATTTTCTGCTGTACCACCTCTTATGTACGTACTCGTGAGTTTGGACCCGCTTGTTGAGTGCAACGCATGCCAGCACGGCAGCAGCAGTAGCATCCGCTGCGGTGATCTCTCTCTCTCTCTCTACGATTATTATTCCAAGCCCTCTCAGGCAATCGGTTTCATTTTCCCATACGGACTCCGTCTCTCCCCCCGTGCCACACGTCGAGCACCCACACACAGCGCGTCGCAAATGACGAAAACAATCGCTCCTGGGAAGCGCAATTACTGACACGGAGCGAAGAACGTTCATCATACGCGTTCAAATGCGTACCAATACAGCAGTTTTTGAATCATCCTCGAAGAGAAAGGCTGAGTTTCTCGAAAACGCCGCCCAGCTCGGGACGCATCTACGAGTTTAGGTGTATATCTACCCGTCGGCAGGATATGCGTACTCTGGTCCAGTACACCATGCCTGCTGCAGCCGCTCTTCTCTTTTCTGGTAGTGAGCAGCGTGTCGTCGTCTACACTTGTTCGCAGCGAGCAAAAGGCTCACTATAAATAGACGTTGAAGCGGAACGAAATATTTCAAGCGACCAACAAGCGCTGCTGCCGTCTGCCGTCGCTGGATGCGGCCAACGGAATTGTGCCTGCGCAAAGGGGTTGCTGCAGACCGACAGCAGCATTACGTGCACCACCGCCGCTACTATAGACTATAGGCCACCATCGACTGGTTATGCAGCGTGTACGTACATCTGTGTCAGGAAACCATCATATCGATCGATCAATCGCAAGCGATTGATTCCACCCGGAGAGACGTGACGCGCCCCTTGTTTGTTCCATAAGCGCTGAACACACATGTTGCCGCCTGCCATCCTTCTTGCTTGCCTTCTCGACGACGTGTGCACCCAAGCTCATAACTACGACCCTTTCTATGCCCCTGCCTTTGGCCGTGTGTGAGCGGGCTCGATTTTTTTTGCCTGTTGATGAATGCTTCCCTCGGCGACGATAACACACGTGTTTGTCACCATCACCGTCTTACGCTATCTCTGAGGTTGATGGCATATCAACAGTCGACGACCGTCCGTCCCTGCTGTACGTATGCACGCGTACAGCACGTCCTCATCACTTCGTCTTCTTGCCTCATGACGACACCCATCCCACGCCTAGAAAGCGAGCGTGCTCGTTGATTGGTGCCGGTGTATGTGTTGTTAGTATTAGCATCGACCGCGCAAACCGGCTGACCAATGAAAATACGTCAATTCTCAGTGCGGCTGGAAGCAGAAAATGCTTCTGAAGACCATGACATGGGACCCCGCGAGGGGGCGTAATGGGGGGAGGCTAAGCTACTCTCCGGATTAAAGACAGAAACGGCGGTAGCAGCAGAACACAACTCCACGTGTCTACCAACGCTGATTTAATACCTATACCTTGCACTTGTGTTTCACTTGCGTTTCGGAGACCTTCACGTGCTGTCGCTGCTTGCATCATCCTCCTCGCACTAGCCAGTCTCTTATCAAGTTACTCGTATTTATACAACTATTTTTGGGGAAACTCTCTCCTCCTGCGGCTTTTGTTGTGCGGCATTCCTCGTGGCTCACAAACTCTTGCCCTCTGTGTTTCCTGTGTGTGTGTGTGTTTGTTTGGTTGTCAGCATTTGGACCGCGCTAACCGGCTGACCAATGAAAAGACGTCAGTCTCAGTGCGGTTGAACACACAAAACACTTGTAAATGTCATCAACTGGTGTGTGTGCGCGCGCGCGCGCTTTTTTTTTTGCTTGTGGACAGGCCAGAGCGCGAGAGCTGGTGGATGCGGCCCTCGGCGACCGTGACCCGGCTTCGATAACGAGGGTGCGATTGTCCAACAAGAGCTACTCAGCGGAGGCCGCCAAGGTCATCGGCGAGGCTCTAGAGAAGATGACCAGCGTTACAGAGGTACGTGCGTTGATGGTGACGGTCTTGACGCAGGGTTGGAGTGGTGGTAGTGTTACTGTCGTTGCCGCTGCTGCTGCCGTTGTTGGACTTTTCTTTTTTCTGCGATTTTCCTCCGACGGCCTTCGTGGTTGCTTACGGATACAGACCCCGGCCCCTGATCCCAGAGTCAGAAGAGAAACGCTTACGTGGATAGATACACAAAGAATGTTGTGTTCTCACGCTGGGCGGTTTCAAGATGCACAGTTTACCCAAAAGTTGCTCTGCGATATCCTACGCTGCTTCTGCTGTGGGTGCGTTTTTTCTCCTGCGGTGGTCCCGTACCGCCGCTGCTGCTGTAGCTGTAACGAAAACCAAGACCTAGGGAAACAACGTGATCGAAAAAGGCAAGTTAGACCGAGAGCAGGTGGGTCAGAGAGTATGTCCAGGTACAGCTTGCCATCGTCGCTCGCCTCACGAACCACAACACACTGAACGAAAAATTTACGAAACGAGCATGGTACTTGAAGTAGTATGTTTTTTTATCAGGTGCCCTCCCAGCGCGATAGCAACGACGATATCGATGGCGGCGGCGGCGGCGGCGGCGCAACATTGACCGACCCTTTCTCCACTACCCACGATAACCTCTCATCACCCTCTAAGTCCATCCCATTCGGTACCTTATCATACCCTTGGTCGCGTGCTGTTTTTGCGTATGTCATAGGTCGATTTCAGCGACATCATCGCTGGGAGGCCCAAGGAGGTGGGGCTGGAGGTGCTGGCCGCCGTTTGCGGGGGCGTGAGGGAGCGGGAGGGACTGACGTTCGTGGACGTGAGCGAGAACGCCATGGGTCCGGACGGGGTGGATGCCTGTCGGCCGGCGATCGAGGGGAAGAAGGAGCTGAGGGCCCTGCTCATGTGCAACGACGGGCTGTCGGCGGCTGCGATGGAGGCTGTTCGGGTGAGACAGAGAGAGGGGGGGGGGGTAGAGACAGAGACGTAAACAGAGACAGGGAGGGAGGGAGGGAGGGAGGGAGGGAGGGAGGGAGGAGGGAGAGAGAAGGGGGTCGGACGTGTTTTGGTGTCATGATCGTTGTCGTCGTCTTTGTTGTTGTTGTTGTTGCTGTTAGCGGGGCGATGGCGTGGGGGGTCGTTGTTGTCGTCTCTTTGGTGCTGTTGGTGCACTTTCTTCGAGTCGCCCTAGTAGGCCCCGTCGGGGTATCGTGTTACAATTTAGTAAATATGAGTAGTATCCTGAAGGTTTTCTGTTTTTTACCGCCCGACCCCCCTTGGATAACGATTCTTCCCTCTTTCTCCTATTTAGTCTCGTCGGACTTCTCCCAATACTCTCGCTTTTTGGAGACTACAGTATCATTTACTATTATTTAAAGTTCGTTCGCTCCGTGGGGCTCTCTCTCCGCGGGGCACTATCTATCGGCAGCTCCGTCCAGAAGCGTGTTTTTTTCATTTTTTGCATCAGGATATATCAATTGGGAGGGCTACTCTTTCCCTGACTGGAGGACCTTCGCACCGGCGATAATCTATTTAGGGCTTCGTTGGCAAACTTTCAAGCTTTCTTGTGCTCTTGATTGCTTGAAATATCGCGATTGTTAGGACATCTTGTTGGCGACCTCCCCTGCTGCCCTGCGGACGCTTCACTTCTACAACAACATGAGTGGCGACCTGGGGGCTAAGGCTCTAGCTCAGGTGAAAAGACCCCAGCAGTACGGTACAAGTACCTCTCGTCTGCGTGTCTTCTCACGACCGCCGGTAGTAGTAGTAGCAGTAGTAGCAGTACCGGCAGTCGTTGTTGTTTGTCTTGACTTGTTGAGAGTGTTTCGTTTGTGCAGTTTGCCTCAAGCACAGCCGCACTACTTGTACTGCTACGCTGCTGTAGCTGACCGATCGTGGACATACGTACGTATGTAGTTGTTACGCTCTGCTGCTGTTTCGTGGTGGTGCCCAGCTCATCCCGCAACTGCTGTCGCACAAGCATGCATTATGTAGACGACGTCGCCGCCGGTGAGTGGGGCAGCCGACGAGTGGAGCAGCCAGCCCTTGGTCTCTGTCTGTTACGTTATCAAACAAGCAGCTTAGGGGCTTCTTTTTATCTCTCCTTGTGGGTTTTGTGTCTTGTGAAACTCGATTGGTTGGTTTTTTACGGTGCAGGTGTTACCCAAGTGCCCGAACCTTTCCGACTTCCGCTTCTCGGGGACAAGATCGGGCCGGGAAGGATCTGCCGCCGTTGTCCAGGTGAAGAAAACTATCGAGTTGTTTTTGTTTATGTTGTGCTGTTCTGTCTTAAGTTTTTTTGTCTGAGTTGTCACAGCAGCAACTGCTGTGCCGCGCACATTGAACAAATGAAATCTTTTAGTTTTGCTGCATGATTTTGCTGTTGTTTTGAATTGTCACAGCAGCCACTGCTGTACCTCACACAATACATAAGGTTTTGGAAGTTTGCTCTTTGTCTCGTTGTCAGCTACAGTGTACAATATCTAGCTTTGTTACGACAGCAATTGTGACGCACGCTATGTATGTGTGCATGTGTCGCGGAGCCCGCCAGCCTTCACGCGTGTGGCGCACCACAGGCGTACACTAGCCGGGCAACGTTTTTTTTTCACCACCACCGAGAAGAGACAGCATCCGCCTCGGCTCCAAAAACTGCTTCACCTCGTTAGAATTAAGCCGCGGTGTTGCAAGTCCTGCCCCGTGTGGTGTTGCCGTCCGTGTGACCCCTCGGACTTGTATTGTATTTTCAGAAAGAAGGTGATGTGCCACCTACCTTGTTGAACCGTGCCGCGGCCTGTGGGGGGAGAGGGGGGGGGTGGGGGGGGGCGCGGCCTGGCGGTGGAGGTAATCGCGCCTTTGGCATCCACCTTAGGCTCATGAATCGAGAAAAAGGGTTACCCGCCGCCTGCTCTCGACCCTGCTTTCTTTCTCTATGCACCTCCCCTTTCACATGCCAGTGACGACTGACAGAAAGAAGTACATCCTTGATCTCACTGGGTCCTAACCCTACCCCCCCCCAAAAAAAAACCATCCCCATCCTTCCGCCACCCAGGAGAAGACGTTAGCTGTACTGGGGCATAGGAAGTGACATCGGAAGGATATAGATAAGACTAGGGAAGCCATGTTTGAGCCACGTTTGGCAAAGTAGGAAGGAACGGTTGGCCATCGGAGATCGGTCCTGTGGGAACAATGCTCCGTCCTCTCGAGGACGCGTGGTCAAGGGTCTAACCGCTAAGGCATGCAAGAAAAAAGAGTACGCCCCCATCCTTTCGCCACCCTATATTGTATCAAACTCGAAAACACCCGCCTCTACCCCCCCCCCCCACACACACAGGCATTGCTTGAGTGCCCCGCGGCTTCTGCCGGTCTCCTGGAGCGCTTGGACCTTGCCGACAACACCCTGGGGGAGGAAGGGGGCCGAGTCCTTGCCGAGGCTTTGGCGACGCAGCCTTCCTTGACGTACGTGAACCTGAGCGAGTGCGACCTCGGGGTGAGTGAGTTGTTGAGCAGCACGTGTCTGTTTCTGTATCGCTCGATCAACAGGCAAGAAGTTTTGTTTTGTGCTAGAGCCAGCCTTTCGCTGACAAGGAACTTTCTTCTCGTGGCCGGAGGGTTTTAGAGCGTGGCGAACGGTGCCGAAAGTTCCGCCTGTGTTTTTTTTTTTTTTGTGGCATTGCTGACACCATTCCACGACGACGAATTGCAAGCGCGTACGGTCTTGGTTGTTGTATTTATTGGGTGTTTGCGCTTGCGCATGTCAAAAAGTCCGCCGCCGCCGCTGCGGCCGCCTTTTTTCCTACTACTTCGGATATCACAACTAAATCCATCTCTTGTATATTTTCTTCTTGGTTTTTCTGGCTCTTTGCTGTCTGTCAACTCCTCCAGGACGAATGCAAGCGCGCTAAGTCTTGGCTTTTGTGCTTCGAAGCACTATTTACCGAAGGTCCGCCGCCGCTGCCGGTTGTGTTTTTATGTTTTCTTGCTGTAACACAAGGAACTCATCTCCGCCTTCTTTCGTTCTTTCTTTCTGGCGCTGTGCTGTCTGTCGAAACTCCTCCTGTAGGACGAAGGAGCCGCCGCCGTGGCGAAGGCGCTCAGCGGCACTGCGCCCGGCGTGCGCGAGCTGGAGTTCTCGTACAACGAGCTCACAGCAGAGGGGGCGGCGGCGGTGGCCGCCTGCGCGGAGAGAAAGTCCGCGTCTCTGGAGTACCTGGGCCTGGAGGGCAACGAGATGGGGTCGGCCGGGGCGAAATCGGTGCGTGCGTTCGTGTGTTTTAGTGGTTGGTGGCTTGTCGTCGCACGGGGGTACATGTGTGATCTGTCTATGTGTTGTCGTTGTTATAGCTGGCCGCGCTAGCCGGCTGACCAATGAAAATACGTCAGTCTCAGTGCGGTTGAAAACACGAAACACTTCTAAATGCCATTAACTGGGACCCCGTGAGCGGGCGCCATGGGGGAGACTAATCTATTCTCCGGATCACAGACAGAAACGGTATATAGCAACAGAAGAAAACTGCACATGTCTACGAAGGCTGCTACCTTGCACTCGATTTCGTTTTGGAGTTCGTTCTCCATCATTCTCATTATCGTCTTGACAGAAACTTTTCGACATTTCTTCTCTGGCCCTGCTATGTGTGTGTGTGTATTTGTCTTTATTTTGTTAACACCGACCGTGTTCAATAGCCGGCTAACCAATGAAAAGACATGAGAGTCTTGTTTTGTCTGTCCGACCATGTCCCCAAACCCCAAACGACGCGCGCCCCCCCCAAGTGTCGTCCGTGGGTGTAGTGGCGCATCTGTGGTACGTTAGTTTCCACTTGAACTCACAGGTGTAACCCCTGTCCTCCCCCCGCCACCGCCCCCGCCGCGGGTCGGGCGCATTTGCCACATATACATGCGCGTGGTGTGTATCTCGAAAAAAAACAAAATGATTGCAGATTGCCAAGGCCCTGGCACCCGCCCGCGTCATCCGCAAGGTGCAGCTGAGCACCAATGAGATCGGAACCTCAGGGGCCCTGGCTGTGGCACGAAGCTTGCAGGACAAAAAAGACTTGGAGGTAAGGGGCCTTTTTCTTGACACGTTTTTTATTGTAGCTGTAGACGATGGCGGTGAAAAGAGGCGCACTGGTCGCGACGTAAAGTCCTTCTCGAGGTTTGTGCGAAGAGTTATCTCCGGTCAAAGGAAGGACGCTTGGCACATCTGTGGTTTTTGAGACTTGGCTTGCTTGTTTTTTGGGTTGGGGGTTGCGTGTGCGGTGGCGGATGTTCTTGACGTGTGGGTGCATGCCCACACCCCCACACCCCCCTCTGCCGCCACATCCCGAAGCTGAAAGGCTACCTACCCTTACGAATCTTCACAACGTTTCCCCCCCCATGTAGCGGGCACCTAAATTTGGTAGTGTTGAGGCCGTGCTCGCGCACGAATCCCTCTCCCGTCCTCTCGACCTCGCTCACCGACAAAAATCGACACACCTGGCATCAACCAACCCAAATCGACGTTCGCTCGATTTGGTGACGTCACGTCACGCCTACCAGAGCTTGGAGCTGAACGGGAACATGATCAGCGCTGAAGGATTGACGCGACTCAGCAGGATCCTTGAGTCAGCGGAAAAAGTGAGTGAGGATTAATCCTGCCGCCTCCCCTCCGTCATTTTTTATTCTCCGTGTTTTTGCCAGACACGTGTTTTTGCGTGTTCTACTCTGCGTGTTGTGGTGGTTGTTTTCACCCCATCGCACATGGACCGCGTTTCACTTGTACCCAAGACCCTACCAGGTGCTTGTGTGTGTGTGTTTGTTGTTTTTTATTTTTTATTTTTTGCCTGTCTGTGATACACCGGTCTGTCTCTGCCTGTCTCTCAAGCCTTCACACGCCAGCTACGTTGAACCGTACCATATGTTTTATCTACTAAAGTAATACCATTTTTTAAACCTTTACCTTGCCCTTACCGTCTTGTCGCCCCCGAACCCTCGCACGTAAACATGCCACAGCTCGATGCACTCGGCGAGATGGACGACAACGATGAAGACGGTGATGAGGAGGAGGACGAGGAGGAGGAGGAAGAAGAAGAGGAGGAGGAGGAAGGGGAAGACAAGGGCGGGGAGACCGCTGCGGCGGAGACTGCTCCTAAAGACGATGCCGAGATAGACGAGCTCGCAGCCGCTCTTGGGGCTGCCACGGTTTGATTGGGCTTTCGATCTCAGCTCTGGCGTGGACGAGGGAAGGGGGTGCCACGGCATCTACATAGAGTACGCTTGCTGCTGTCGAGCCAATCTCCCTCCGCCTCTCGATTATTTGACCTTTTGACCGAACATCCACGGACTGACTGTTTTGGTCCTTTCGCTTCGGTTCGCTTGGTTTTTGCTCTCTTCGTGTGTTGTATGATGTGTACTATTTTTTTCTGTTGTAAAATGAGGGCATACACGTTCAGAGCACTTTCGTGATACTGCTGTACCTGCGTTCATCTTCTCTCGTCGATTCTTCTGTGTGCTGTAGTTCGACCGACGCCCGCCGTTCGATTCAACGATCCCCGGGTTCTGGTGGCTATTTAGTCTGTGTTTGCTTTCGGATGCTGTGTTTGCTCCGGCTTGTGCTGTGCCGTCCCGTTTTTTGTGAAAATATGAAATGAAGTATTTAGTGTTTTCCGAAAACGCTTGGTTCTACGTTTTGGTGTGAATGCGCACGTCGTTTACCGCCTTATGTTCGGTGGAGGGACTATTTCCTCGCACACTGCTTTTGACACGTTTTGAGTCATGCCGATTTGCGGGTTGTCATCATGATTAATGGCAGCAGGCCGCTTGAGAACGCCCAATAAACACCGAAGTACATTTTACGTCGGCATGGCACGGCCGTGGAAGAAGCAGTACAAGCCTCACTCTGCTACTGGTGTAATCTAATATGTTGTCCCGAAATAACTTTCTTCTCGTTGGAGAGAGATGGGTTCGGCGGTTTGGTTTGGCCAAGAAGAACGCAAGCTAGTTACGTATGTTACGTACATGTAGTAGGCATTGGAGAGAATCTCTTATCTCACAGTAGCAGTGTTTCACCAGCTTTGTGGTGTTTTCATGATAGAGATGGACCTGAACCGCCTGTGCGTCTTTTCGCCTGCCCTGCCAGTCACTCTTCAAGGCAAAGGAACGCTGTTGTGTGGTTGAATTGGTCGATTTGGATGTTTTGTTCACCCGAAACAAGGTCCAAAACTTTCAAAAAGAAAAACGATGAAATACTCAGATTGAACAAAGTCCCGCCGCGAAGATACGACGGCTCAAGGCCTGGGGACACAAATGTGTAGGAATCGTTTTCGCCCACTACTACTGCCGTCCAGATGAACGTGCCGCATGCTGACTTGTGTTGGAACATCGATGTTGTGCCAGGCGAGTCGGGAGCGAGCAGAATGAACGGTGCCCAGTCGAACAACGTCAACGCAACCGCTTGTGGATGTAACCGATCGTCTTTGTTGGTGTCCACATTCTAGACTACACCACAGGCAGCGCTAGACACACACAAGAACCCCTCTGCTTCGCGTTGACGTCGCATTGATTGGCGAATATAAATAGTCTTGTCGCCCTAGTGTTTTCTGTCCTGTCCAGGCAGGGTTTCTCTTCTGTTCATACATACATACGCCATTAATTTCTGTGCGCTCCCGAGAGCCCCGTCACTCCGACGGTCTCAAAGTTTTCTCTGCAAGCCTTCGCTTGCTCAAGCTGCGTTCCCTTCACGCACACCAAAATAGATGTTCTAGTGTCAATGTGCCATCATCACCTAACTAACAACCACAAGGCTTGCGACGTGGGCGGGCGTGCATGTACAGTACCTGTTGTTGGCTTGGTCGTGTCACCTTGACTTACTTCACTGCTGTGATCACGTGGTCTTCAAAGACGTTGGCTGACCATCAAAAACCACGTTTTGTGCATACACGAGCCTTGTATGCTTGGACGACCATGACGGGCAAGGTATCTTTTTTGAAGCCGGCCTGAAGGAAAGCCTGCAGTGCCGAAAGAGACGTGTTCCAACCATAGAGATGTGTGAGTCACGCCATCTATAACATCATAACTACTGTACTCCTTCATGCCGAATAAGGGATACACGCTAAATTAACTGCAAAAACAGAGCATCGAGATTAATCAATCACGTGATGACGTGCTCTTGTCAACACAATAAATACCACATGGCTCTTCTCAACACATCAGAAGCGGGGATGCATGAGGTGCATCGCGGGGTTTTCAGAGAAAGGCTTTCTGCTCTTCGTGTTTCATTCATACGTTGGCTTCGAAGACGGAAGATAACGCCTACTCGACGGAAACCCCCTACAAAGTACAAATTACCACTACTTATACTACTAGTAATACCGTGTTTAACCAAGTGTCGCCGCCGGCGCCACCCCGCAGTCTGGCTTCACTCGTACAGGAACATCACAAAGCCAGCAACATCACACACGCAAGGGCTGCTGCTGCTGTAGGCTACCCCCGCTCATGAGGCGGCAGCGGACCAATAACATGACCGAGAGAGCAAAACAGCTAGCTAGCGCGTTTCGATGACCGCCAGGGGTTTCATCCACAAAAACACAACTCGAATGAGAAAACACTCAAATTACTGAAAAAACAAAGCGAATCACCACCTACCCACTCCAAAATTCTTCTTGGACCCATATTGTTTCCACCACCACCTAAAACATAAAATTATTTTACCAACACCATCAGTCTCAGCGCACGCAGTAGATCCGCCCCGGGAACCAAAAAAAAAAAAAACTCCGGAAGGTCTTCCATGGCTTCTGACGACGCACGCAAAAGCCTGCTGCCCTGCTTGGATGGACGCCCCCACCAGACCGAGAAGGAGCAAATACGAGGCCCAAGCAGCACAATGAAGGAAGCCTCCACCTTCTCCTCTCTGTCGTCTCTATGCTGAAAACAAAATAATACAAGTCTACGAGAGAGGCGCGGCCGATCCATCGTACATACGGCGACGACAAAGAGAGAGAGAGCGATTACTCCGACATCTGCTCCATCATGGAGCAGTTTATCCGACGAGGCATTTGGATGTCCTACAGGTTGAACGTCACGCCCATAGAACGAGAAAAGAACGCCTGCTTCGCTCTCTTCTCGTTCCGATAGCACGAACGCCGCCGAGTCCGTGTTCAAAAAACAAACAAACAGCGATATGATGAATCCATTGGCAATTTCCAGCCCGGACTCTCACTATTGTTCTACGGACACAGAAGGTGAACATGTTTGCGAAAAATAAAAAATGAAACGACGAGGACGCGGACCAACGATCTAGATGTTGGCTGCGAATCTCTAGCCTTCCTTCGAAGCGATCTCTGCCTTCATCGAACTGATTAACCCTTTTCCGCCCTTGCTTACACTGCAACAAACGAACACGCACCGCACCGGTGTTACAACAACAAAAACTCAACAAACAGGTAGGTAACAACATTTTCTGGGCGAAACATCGCTCTGAGAAGCAAAAAGCAGAAGAAGCCCCTTCTTCCGTTTTGCAAAATTACAAAATAATGCGCCCAGTGTCCAACAGCCCACCCACAGACAGGCCCTGAACTCGCCGCGCATACGGACGGGGACAATCACTGCTGTCCCTCTTTTTGCTCGCGTGGGTGACTTACGAACCACCCTCCCTCCTTTCATCGACCAGAAGCCGTGCAAGGGCATAGCCGTCGCGTGACCTCGTGGGAAGCCGAACATGTCGAATGCCGTGGGTTCGACGAGATGAGGCACTGCCCCGGGAGCTGCGAGGTCGGTTGTTCAACCCGCGAGGGGGAGAGAAAACGCGAGCAGGAGAGAGCAGGGGGTGTTCGAGAACACGGGGGGGGGGGGTTAGTACCAGCGGAAGAGTGTAGGCCGCCTTGCGGGCTTATACACTTTCTCGTCTTCGTATATTCGATACAAAGCTCTT